AAAAAAAAAAAAAAAGATTTGGGAAAGCAAGGTTTTTAAATCCTCCCAACCCCTCTCTTCCACGTAGCTAAGCCTTTAGGGCTCTACTGCTAGTTCCCGAGGGCCCTGGGCCTTCAGTGAGGCCTTCTCTCTGATCTCTTCAAAGATAGAAATTTCAGTCATGCTCATGTGTCAGCTTCCTATGAAATTTCATATGAATTACCATCTAACAAACTACCATTAAATAATAATTAACATAAAAATTAAATCTTGTTTTATTTCTTCTGAGGAAGCTGGACTAACTTTTGGCCAGAAAGGGGAAAAGAGAGAGAGATTAATTACATTAATCATGATATGATTAACAGTGAAAGGTAAAAGATTAAAAGCACTTATGAAAAGCTCTGTGGGCAGCATTTAGGCCTAGCATGAAGGGACAGCAAAACGAACAGTTGCTGACTTACACTGAGTGCCACCTCGGGACGCTCTCGTGCCTCTGCGTCTGGTAAATCAAATGCCCGGAGCACTTCAGGGCTCTTGTTGCCAGTCTGAAATCTCGAGTCAACATCTCTCTCTCTCAAAACATCTCTTCTACCCTCATATGTTTTGTCATAAGGGCCTGGCTCAAGGGGGCACATTTGGCCCCTATAATAGAAATCTGCATCACCTGCTCCACCATGGGGTCTATAATCAATTTCCTTCTGCCATCTTCTGTCACCTGGCTGGAGTGCCCGGGGAGGTTCTCTCTCAGGACCACCTAAATGTCTTAGCACATGAACTGATTTTCCGGCACCATAGCAGAAACTCTGTAAGGAAAATAAATACACTTTCCTGAGGACTTAATGGCTGAATTATAATGAAAAGTTATGAGGTGTTTTTTTCAGGGTGCTAACAAAATTAAGAAATTTAACTTGTGGTATTTATGGGCATCAGCATGTTAATTTGACTCTTTTCATTAGAGACCTCTTCTATGGGTTACTAATAAAATTTAATAAACCATTCAGTATTAAGTAGACATTTTAATCAGCCGGACACATTTTGATTGAATTATATCATAACAATGGCAGGCTGAAGCCTGGAAATTTAAATTAGAAGGTTCTAGCCATCTGATAATTGTTCATATGTTTCTATATTCATACCCATCATAAAAGGTAAATGCTGAAAATTATTTAAAGTTCTACATCATTATGTAAACATTCTCCTATAGGTGTACTTTTTACAAATACAAACTTAGATTAAGCTACAGCTAAAATTCAACAGGTTTTGATTCACATTCTATGAGAAAAAGTAGGCAACAGTTCTGAAAGTGTGGCCCGGGGACCCCTGGGAGGGATCCCTGAGACTCTTTCAGGGGATCTGTGAGGTCAAAACTTTTCATAATACAAAGACGTTATCTGTCTTCTTCACTGTCCTCTCAGTGTGCAGGAGTCCTCCAGAGGCCAAAGTGCCATCCACACTGTGAGGATTCACGGGATGTGTGCTGTATATAGCGCTTATATTTTTTAAATTTCTCAGTTTTAATTCCTAATATGATAAATATCAACATAATGTAACATAATATATATTATATACATATATATAATATAATCCCCATAAACAAAAGCTCTTTGTGGTCTTCAATTTTTAAGAATGTAAAGGGGTCCTAAGAACAAAAAGTTTGAAAATCTCTGTACTAGAGATATACTACTATTTGAAAACAGAGGCAGCAAATGTCAAAGAGCATAACTTTTCCTGGGGAGCAGATACAAAAAGAGATGACGGAGCTTTTGCTTATAATTTCAGTTTCAGAGATTAAACTACTACTATGGAACTACTGTTACCTAACAAAATCATACGTCTAACCCATTGAATCCTGTACTCTCAAGCCAGAAAACAAAACCAAAATGGAACAATTTCAAAGTTGTTATAATAGAGCATAGTGAATTCTGTATCCTTAAGGAGGAGAATTTCCCATGGCAGATCTGAGTTCTTTTTGTCTTATATAACAACTACTTTATTTGGGTAACAGCTAAAAAATCTACAACAAAGAAGCTGAAAAGACCAAGGATGAATGACAAGTAATATTTCTTCTTAATAAATGTCTGCTTCTGGATTCCCCAAACTATTAATATTTCTCAGTATACCCACCTTCTTCCATATCCCTTTCTGATTCTGTGTTAAACCCAATGCTCTCATCTTCTCAGTGCTGCAAAAACTCAGACTGAAATAAAGCCCCCTTTCTCAAAGAGGAAGTAATCAACTTCCTGTGTATTAATTCACCAAGTTTAAAGAACTTTAAAAAGAGATTCTTATTCTAAATCTCTGCTATGACATCTACAAACTACAGAACCACCTCCTTAATTAGAGTACTATACATGTAAATATAAATAAATCTCTTATCACTTAAAAATCACAGGAAGGCTGATGCAGGATCGCTTGAGCCCACAAATTTGAGGCTGCAGTGAGCTATGATCGTGCCCCTGCACTCCAGCCTGGGTGACAGAGTGAGACCCTGTCTCCAAAAATTAAAAAAAAAAAAAAAAATCACTTCCTCATTCCAGTAAGCATGACTTAGCCTGACTTGCATCAAAGAAGCCTAATAATTTTAGAATTGCCTTTTTTTCTGGAAATCCTGCTAAATATTGACAGTGCTAATATACTAACCAAGATAGCTAATGCTATAATTATCAGCACAGGAATGTGAAGTAACGCTGGAATCTCCTTCATCAGTGCTTTAATAAATTCACCAGCTCCTTTTCCAATGTGCTTCAGTGGTTCTGTTACGAAGTTGGTGAATGTCACTGCCAGTGCCTATAACAAGAAATAAAAGCAACTTAATTTTTTCCTCAAAGGACTGAGGCACACAGAATGAGTCAAAACTCACTGAGCCCTGAGACTGGAATTATGTTACAAATTAAAATGCTGTCATATGCCACTTTTAATGTGAAAAATCACTGTGTAAGGGAAGTCTTTTTTCTAGAACAAAGATTATTAGCAAAATGATCCTAAAAACACAAAATTTTTTAGAAATATAAGGAATTTTTGTCTTATTTTGTATAAGTAATTTTTACCAAAAATGTGCTATATTTACCTTTGTTGGTGGGACCAACCAAATAGGGTTGACTAATAAAAGCTCGTAGTATTTTTGGCATGGGTCATCCTTATAGGTCCACGAACTTCTAAACCA